AAAAAACACAGAGGCCCTAGACTGGCTGACTATCCATGCTTCCTACTGTGCTATAAAAAGCAGAGGAAAACAGGCTGGGCTGCTACATCTGACCATCCTGGCAGAAGACCCAGGGCCTGTGGTATGCTCTTGGGGTACGAGGCATCCGGGATCTTACCAGGCAGCCTCAGGGTGACCACACGGTCAAACAGGTTCCTTTCAGCTGTCACCCGATTCAGCACCTGGTTCAGCAGCTACAAAGGCAGGAGCTTGTTAGTGGATGGGCAAGTTTGCTAGCGAGGTCCCCAGGGCCTGCCCGCCTGGTCAGATGCACATACCTGTGCAAGACGTCGCAGAAGCATCTCAGAGGTAGGCCGGGTCCAGTCAAGGAATATCTCAGGCACCAATGTGATGGTCATTTCTAGGACACGCAGCAGGCTGACCGAAAGGTCAAAGCAGGTGGCACATACCTTGAGCTGCCTGCTATCTACAAAGTTTCGCTCTAGGCGCTCAGCAGCCTGCTGAATCTGAAGCATGAGAACAAGGGCAGGCAGCAGTGAGGCCTGCTGTACCCCAAGGCCACATACTGGCCTTGGACAGGCGTAGGCCCCCTCCCCAACTCCCCACTCTGGCCTACCTCCTGGATCATGCCAATGAATTCAGAGAAAGCCCAGTTGAGCTGGTTCAGGACACTGTTGAGGAAGCTAGGTGCCACGTCAGGTCCCTGCCGCAGCAGGTCTGCCATGTGCTGCTGCAGCAGGGTGGAGGGACAGGGCTCTGCAGGCATGAAGTGGGGAGCATTACAGGGACTCTAGGGCAGCAGCCCTGGCTGCCTCTGTTATCTCCCCAGGATCCTGGCATGACAGCTTAGAAAGGCAAGAGAACAACACAGTACTAGGGCTCAGGGTTCCAATTCTCCATGCGGGATGAAGCCCAGGCTTCAGGTGTCTCCAGCGCCCAAGACATCACACTCAGGCCCAGAGCAGCTGTACAGCTACAGCCTGACTCCCACACTTATCAGACATAGTCAGGTACCCAGAGATATCATGGCCAGCTTCTTCAAGAGCCTACTCTGAAACAGTCATCCTCTATGATCCTGTCGCCCTTGGCCTGGCCTTGATATACGGCTGAGGTGGTGGGCACCAAGTCTGGGCTGGCTGGCAGCAGTAACCGGAGCTCCGGGTTGTGTTGGCCCAGCATCCCTCCCCAGCCTCCTTGAGGCTAATCAATAGTTCCTGCAGCCACAGGATGGTGTCTGGCCCTACTGTTCTCCCCTCTCAGCCTAATTCTGCCCTAGAGGCAAGACAAAAGCATATGGCAAGGACTTGCTGTGTGACATTTTTTTCTGTGGCCAGTTCAGCTTGCCCTGGGGGTGGGGCTGGTGCAGCATGTGTTATGAGGGATCAAACTGAGGTCCCTGCACTTGCCTAAGCAGATGCTTTAGACTGCTGAGCTATCTCGCCGGCCCTTGCTGTGTGACTGCACAAGGCACCTGGCACTATGGGCACAGTAAGAGCAGTAATGTGGCAGGCACTCTACAAAGTGGGACAGGCCCGGGAAAAGTGCTCAGGCTCATGGGACTTTGCTGGACACAGGACAGAGGGCACAGTGTCTGCCCCCAGGCAAATGTCCCCTACTGTAGGAAACTCCATGTACCATCAGCACCCTCAGGCACTTTGGCCACCTCCAGCCTGTACGTTTTGTTTGTAAAGACAGGATCTTAGACATAGTTCAGATTGACCTTGAACTCATTATGTACCTGTGTTGGTCTCAAACTTACAGTGATCCTCCTGCCTCAGCCTCCCAAGTTTTGGGATGACAAGCTTGTACCACCATACCCAGCTTTTTGCCCTTTTGACTCAGTGGTCCAAGGCCTAAGCCAAGCCCCAGATCTGGCTCTTGTAGATCCCAAAGCAACACGATATGCTAGGACAAGGCTGGGAGTTGGGGTCTGGCAAGCAAGGCAAGGGGCACAGTATGTACTTCCAGCACCCTGGGGAATTAGCATTTTTTCACTGTGACCCTTGCAAAGTGATAGGTCCAAAGAGTACACATGGAACAGCAGAGCAAGAGGAAGCAGTCCCAGAGGATCCTTGGGCTGGGGGCAAGCCAGGAAAGGAAACCTGGACACAAGGAGGGAGTCTAGAACACCACAAGTCTAGGAAAAGGGCTAGGAGGAGGGGCCGGGGAGATGGCTCAGTAGGATAAGCGCTTGACTGGCAAATGCAAGGATCAGAGTTCAATCCCCAGTTCCGCAAAAAAAAAAAAAAAAAAAAAAAGAGGGGGGCTAGGAGGAGCAGTATAGAAGAACCCAGGGTGATAGCAAGGGCCACCAGCTTGCCTGCAGGACCTGCCACCCAGATACTCACTCTGGAGGCTGGGCAAGTTGGCGTCATCAGGTTTGGTTTTCAGCAGATGTGGCAGTCGTGTATAGCGGTACCCGAACCCACAGCCCTGGGTGGGAAGGGCAGCAGGGATCAGTGGAGCAGTGGAGCAGCACTACCACTACCTGCTGCTGGCCCCATCCCCGGGCCAGGCTTACCCTCCAGAGTCGAACCAGGATCCAGTTGGTCTGGGCCCAGGGCCGCTGCTCATAAGGTGCCAGGAGATTCCTCACCATGGCAATACGCCTGTGATGGTGAGGGGTGGTGGGCACAGGTGAGGGTGAGGCTATACATGGTGCTGGGCAGAAGAGGATTTGTGCCCCACCCTCACTACTGGCCCCACTTACTGTTCCTCGGGAATTCGCTCCACAGCCCGCAGAGAGTGTGGGTAACACACGTAGCTGGCCAAGGCCTGCATGAGAGAGTCTCGAATATCTGCAGAGACAGGCCATGTCTTAGCAGGGAGGTACCTGACATGAGCAGCCTGCCTCGTACCTACATGGCCACCAGACATGCCATCCAACCCCTTCCCAGCCCCTTGGGGCACCTTACCAGTGCCCACGATTCGTGTGTCAGCAAAGTGTTTGGCAAGGATGGCAGCCAACCGGGTCAGGGTCTCCTCATAGCCTGCAAGGGTGGGAAGTGAGAACTGGTGGCCCTGAGTGGGGATTCCAGCCTACCCCTTGGCAGGGTTTTTGGGCTTAGGCAGCAGACTCTAGACTTGGCTCCAAGGGCCAGTCTGGACCTGGGTTAGCACCTGGGGATGCTGAGTAAGACACTCACTGGCAGTTGGGGAAGGGCAAAGGGGGAAGGCAGGTACTGGCAGAGACCCAAGCCTGGCTCAAACCCATCTCAGTGCACACGCTTGATGGCTTTGATTCCCATAACTCTGTCCCTGAAGACAAAGCCTGCACCGAGGTGTGGGCAGGGTAGGGGGCAGGGTGGGCTGGGGCCTGGCAGCTCACAGCTTGATTCAGACAGAAAATACCAGACCCAAGCTGTAATTAGTGGTCTTTAAAACTGAGGGCTCCTGTCTGCTCTCTGCCTCGCCTGTGATACAAAAGACAAATCACTTTGATCCTGACCCACTCTCATGCTCTTTGACTGGTGCCAGGGAAAGGGACCAGCTAAATGCTGGATGGCAGCAACTGTTCAGCAGTACCAGTAAGGAAGAGAAAGCCAGAGCCCCCACCCATGTGCCTTCCACTCAGCACTGGGAAGCTGCTGGTTCCAAGGCTGCAGGTTTCAGGGCAGAGGACACGCAGCAGGGGCTCTAGCTCCTCCCACATGTACATGAGCTGCTGTGGCTCACATCCAAAGCCCTTTTCCTGCCCCCCTCCAGGTTGGAGAGGATCTGTCACCTGGGAGCTCCTCCATGCTATGCACAGGGCCAAAATAATTCTTGAGAGCACTGTAGCTGTTGATGGCCACACTCAGGTAGAACTCAGGCATGAAGGCGAAGAGCGAGCCCGTGCGGTCCCCATGCTCAATGGTACGCAGGCAGATGCGCAGCAGCCAGTAGATGTCCAGCATCTTCTCCTGCAGGAGGCACACAGGGTGCTGCTGGGCTGCTCACTAGAAGGGGCACGGGAAATAGTCTGCTCTGGGGACCAGGAGGGCCTCTTTGGGACAAGGATGTCGTAACTGTATGTGCAGTGGCTCAAACAGGGACAAATAAGTCCTCAGGAGACAAGAGGGGTGCACTGCGCTGGAGGAGGTAACACTGCGGCCCAAATCAGAGTTAATGGTTTGGTTTTAGTTGTGGGGTTTGGGTCAAGGTCTTCTACTTTGTGGTCCAGGCTGTCTTTGAAGTCAAGGCAATCCTCTTGCCTCAGCCTCCAGAGTACTAGATCACACCTGGCTACAGCTGTTTTATTTATTTATTTATTTATTTATTTATTTATTTAGTGTGTGTGTGTGTGTGTGTGTGTGGCCAGCTCAGCCCACCAGGGGGCGGGGCTGGCTGGCATGTGGTGCTGGGGGATTGAACTGTGGTCCCTGTGCTTTGCTTAGCTTAGCTTGTTCTAAGTAGGTGCTTTAGACCACTAAGCCATCTCACCAGCCCCTCTACAGCTGTTTTGTAAAAGTTGAAAGAAAGCTGTGACCAGAAAGCTGTTTTAGAGTGCTGCTCAGTGCAGAAGGGGCACAGGGGAGTGGAAGCTACTCAGTGAGGAAGCTACAACCTCAAGCTCCAGGCAGCAAGTGAAAGGGCTGGGTGGTGAGAACTGACGCCTCTGGAGGTTAAGGAAAGGTCACACCAAGAATGAGGCCCACATCTCCAGCTGGGTGCAGTGGCACACATCGGTAAGCATAGCACTTGGGAGGGTGAGACAGGAGGTTTGTCACAAGTTCAAGGCCACTATGGGCTACATAATGAGTTCAAGGCCAGCCCGGCCTACATAGTAAGACTTATCTCAAAACAAAACAAAATGAAAAAAGAATGAGGTCCATATGTCCAATAGTGGTGGAGCCGCCATGCCAGTCAGAAGCATGGAAAGCAGATTGGTCTGGTGTGGGGTGGAAGAGGGCACAGCTTAAGACAAGTGGGGCCCCAGGCACCTGCACGTGGGTCCAGAGGTGTGGACAAGTCAGGTACAGTTTCACATAGAGCACGTAAGAAGAGCTGGTAGGCAGGTAAAGGATGCAGCATGACTATCAGTGGAAGAGGGCACAGAAAATAGATAGATCCTGCTGACAGCCCTGTGGTTCATGATGTAGCAGTCAGTCTTAGGATCACACAATGAGGCCAGGCTAGAATTTGTAGCAGACACAGCTGGAGTGCAGCCATGGCAGTCACGCTTTACACCCGCACTCAATGTCCCTACACCTAAGGGCTCAACAGGAGGAGATGAGCATAGCGTGAGAGGAGTCAGCCTGGTCCACAAGGGCCCTTGACATCCAGCCACCATGGAAGGCTAGGGAGGCCACACTTGAAGTGGGATAACAGGCACATGACACGGAGCCCGTGTGGAGCTAGAGCTGGGCCGCCAAACCTGGAGGAGGCACAGGGCAGCTATCAAGATACCTGGGCAGGACCATGTCAGAACCTGGAAGAACCTGTGCTGGGCCAAGAGATAAGGAGGAGAAGGTGACCAAAAACAGAGAAAGGAGGAGAAAGAGAAGGACCTAGAGCAGGGGAGGTCAAGGGCAGACCTCATGTGCATTCTCCCTTACTAATGGTAACACTGAAGTGAGCACACCGAAAGCAGCAGAAAGCACTGAGAAGCCACCCCTAACAACCAGCTCTTCAGCAAAGCCTGCAACTGCTTGCCAAGACTGACAGTAAGGCATCGAATGTGCCACTTTTTTTTTTTTTTTTTTTTTTTGCAGAACCAGGGATTGAACTCAGGCCCTTGCGCTTGCCAAGGAAGCTCTTACTCCACTGAGCCATCTCCCCAGGCCCTAATGCGCCACTTTTGATATAGCTTTCAACACGGTACTGGAAATGTGGTATGAAAAAGAAAAGGCACCCAAATTAGAAAGGAAGCAGTGAAATCATCTTTTTGTAGAGATAATTTACTTGTAGAAAATACTAACAGTTAAACATATACACACAACTGTTAGAATTAAAAAACATTCTGCAAAGCAGCAGAAGGAAGATCAACACATAAAAACCAACTATTTCTCTACCCTAACATGAGCAACCCAATAAGAAAACCAAGAAAATAAATTCATTTAAAATAGCATCAGGAGGCCAGCCAAATAGCTCAGTGGATTAAAGTGCCTGCAAGTAGGCACAGGGGCTGGGGGTTCGATCCCCAGGCCTGCTATGCTGGCCCTGCCCTCGGGGGCACACTGAGATGGCAATTGAGACTGGGCGTAGTGGCACGTGCTTGTAATCCCAGGTCTTGGGAGGCTGTAAACAGGTGGATCACCAGAGTCAGATCTAGTAATGAGACCCTGAACACCCTGTAGACCCTTCCCTAAAATACAAAAAAATAAATAAATAAAATAAAATAGCATCAGGGCTGCAGATTAAGCTCAATGGCACAGGGCCTGCCTAGCAAGCATGAAGTCCTAAGTTTCATTCCTGGCATTGAAAAAAGGGGAGGAAAGCGGGGCTGGGGAGTTAGCTCAGTAGAATAAGTGACTGCCTGGCAAGCGCAGGGTCCTGAGTTCAATCCCCAGTACTGCAGGGGGTGGGGGTGGGGGAGAAAGAAAAAATGGCAACAAACCATTATGGTAGTGCACCCCTGTAATACCAGCACTGGAAGGCTGAGCAAGAGGCTAGCTAGGAGTTCAAGGTCAGTGTGGGCTACAAAGTGAGTTCAAGGGCAGCCTGAACTGCATAGTGAAACTTTGTCTGAAAAAGACACAAACCCAAAAAGGCAGGAAAGCCCTAGGTTCAATCCCCAGCACCTCAAAAAATAAGAAAATGAAGCAGCATCAAAACGGGGAGGGAAGGGCCAGGGAGATGGCTCAGTGGAATAAGTGCTTGCCTGGCAAGAACAAGGTCCTAAATTCGATCTCTGGTACCATCAAAAGGGGGGGGGGCAGCAAGATAGCTCAGAGGACTAATTGCCTGCTTAGGCAGGCGTGTGGACCAGGGTTCAATCCCAGGCACCACATGCAGCACCAGCCCTGCTCCCAGGCACGCTGAGTGAGACCAGGAATGGTAGCACACGCCCGTAATCCCAGCGCTGGTGAGGCTGAAAACAGAAGGATCACTAGGAGCCCAAGCTGTGTAGTCAGACCCTGTACCAAACACATTAAAAATTAAACACACAAAAAAAACTTAAAAGTAAACTTAAGGAGGCAAAAGACTTGAAGCTATACTGAAAACCACAAAAAGTCTCTGTAAGAAATTAAAGAAACATGCTAGGTGTGGTAACACATGTAATCCCCGTACTCAGGAAGCTAAGCAGGAGGAACACTACAAGTATAGCCAACCTAGGCTACATTGTGAGCTCAAGGCCAGCTTGAACTACATAGCAAGATCCTGTCTTTAAAAAAATAATAATAATAGAGATCCAAATAAATGGAAAGACACCCCATACTCATGGACTGTTAGTAGGTATTGTTATGATATCTACAGGGGTCACTGACCCAGTGTAATCTCTACCAAACCTCAACAACGTATTTTGTAAAAAAAACCTTCCCAGAAATTTACACTGAATTTTAAAAAGGACCTCAAGTAACCAAGACATTCTATTAGAAAAAGAATGAAGTTGGAGGTTTCCTACTTCCAGATTTCAAAACTTGCTGTAGGATGAAAAAGGAATTGAGATATGCTATTTACATGTACCAACTCCCCACAATGAAAGTTGTCATGTACTGCCAACATGGCCTAACAAAAATAAAAATAAAAATGAAACCTCAAAGGCTTATTGCAAATCTCTGATAACCAAAACTATGGTACTGGCACAGACCACTGGAAAGGGATACAGAGCCTAGAAACAAACCCTTACCTACACAGCAGAATGAAGTTGGCAACAGTACCCAGGATGCTCTGTGGGAAAATGCTCTAGGAATGCTGGGTAGCCACATGCAAAATAAACAAAACAAAACAAAACACATGAGCAATCCTTGCTTTATGCCATATACAAGAATTAACATGACATGGAGGGCTAAGATAGCTCAGTGGTCTAAGTGCCTGCCTGCAAGTACAAGGACATAAGTTTGATCCCTGGAATACCGGGCATGCCATGCCAGTCCTAAAACCAGGTATGGTGGTGCATGCGTGTAATCCCAGTGCTGCAGAGGCTAAGACAGAAGGATCACTATGAGTCTGAACTGCGTACTGAGACACTGTATCCAATAAAAGAAAAACAAACATGAAATAGATACCAGACATAAATATAAGACTTAAATCTCCATAGAACTCTTACAATAAAAAGCCTTATGACACCGGATTTGGCAGTGATTTCTTGACTATGATACCAAAAGTACAGGCAACAAAAGAACCATATAGAATGGACCACATCAAGACATAATCTGGGGCCAGGGAGATGGTTCAGTAGAATAAGTGCTTGCCTGGCAAGGGCCTGAGTTCAATCCCTGGTATCGCAAAAATAATA